GCGCTGCATGGTTGTTCCCCCCACAAGAAAATTCAGGACACATATATAGATATATATACATATATATATATATATGTATATAGAATCATATATTACATTACTTTTTGTATATATATATATATATCTATTATTCTTAGCCCCCCCCCATGATCTCCACCCTTTGCTTTTTGACGTCCTTTCAAATAATGCTTGAGTATTGACACTACACATTGTAATTTAACTGCCAGCCAGACTGCCCGGTATGGATACGTGTTTAGAATGAGTTGTAGGCTGATGTTTAAGATGCAGAATCATGCAAGTGTGTGTGTGTGTGTGCGCGTGCAAAACGCCTGACATTCTCGTCTTTTGCGAAATTCCTCGTTGAGTTGGGCATACCAAAAGCACATGCACTGTTTACAGAGGTTTCTTGTATTCTACGCTTGCAAAGTATTAAAGCAACACGGATTGGCCCAGAAGTAGCTTGAGTTGACTCTTCCGAACGCATGCAAGTGCATGTAGTAAAGACATGACTCATCTCAAAGTAAGCCTGTCAAAAGCACATGACATGGACAACAACTCGATAAAACAAGAAACGCAAGCAACAATCTCTGTGGAAGAATCTTTGGTTTCCGCCCCCCCCCCCCAACTTTGCTTTTTCTTTGCTTGAGTTTTTGGTTTTCCCCCGAATTGTTTGTGCTTTTGACATCACCGATCACAAAACCAACACGATTCGAGTTTTTTGGCAAACAAAAGCAAAGTTTAAAGACTCTCACCCGGAGATTTGTTTTTGTTTTCTCGAGTTTTGTTTGTTTGTTTGTTTGCTTGCTTGTTTGTTTGTTTGGTTGGTTGGTTGGTTGGGTGGTTGGTTGTTTTCCTCCGTTCTCCATTGTGCATTTTCCCTCCCAGGAAACCAAAACAAGCCGCGGCGTTTTTGTTTTTCCTTCTGACACGCGCAGAAAACCAACAAAACACGGAGTGCGGGCATTGTCCATCAAGTTTTGTTGTTTTTGTTGAGATTTGCTCTCTCATGTTTTGGCTGATACTCCAATCGTGTTAGAACAATTAGAACACGCCCGCAATTAAAACAACAAGTGGACTTTGATAGCGATACACGCTTGTTTTTGCCAGAAGTTCTATTTTGAAAGTGGGCTGCAGTTTATCTAACTTTGCAGATGAAGATGGGACGGGAAAGATGTGCAATTACCCGCAGGGGGACATCTCAGTTAGAACTTCTTTTCAGCAAGATAGTTTAAGGAGGAGTGTCTTTCCAATTTTAAGTTGGCAGTTTCAAAAGGGAAATAGTTTACTGTAATCAGAATTCCGGTTCTATTTTAGAATTTATCATATGATTCCCTTGCCAAAGAAACACAATTATAGTTTGAGTGGTATTCAGTAGCACAAACAGGAATGATATGCAAAAGGTAGCTCATGTGGCGGGTTCCAGTAAATAAGCATATATATACATATATATGTATATGTATATATATATATATACAACATGAAGGGCGCACTTCGAGGCGCCGTTTCGCCCAGGCAAACCGCAAATCTCGGTTTTATCACTTTCAGCAAAAGACCTTCTTGGTCAGCCCAAACACCCTGTAGCAGAGCTACCATGTTGTGATGTGGGATTCATCAAACAGAGGGTTCCCTTGGGCATGATTGCTACCATGTTGTGATGCGGGATTAATCAAACGGGTTCCCTTGTGTGTGTTTGCTACCATGTTGTGATGTGGGATTCATCGAACAGGGCGTTGCGTGGGGCGTGCTCACTACCACGTCGCGATGTGGGTTTCATCAAAGAGAGGGTTTCCTTTGGGCATGATTGCTACCATGTTGTGATGTGGGATTCATCAAACAGCGGGTCCCCTTGGGCGTGTTTACTACCATGTTGTGATGTGGGATTCATCAACAGAGCGTTCCCTGGGGCGTGCTTACTACCACGTTGTGATGCGGGGTTCATCAAACAGAGGTTTCCCTTTGGCGTGTTTACTACCATGTTGTGGTGTGGGATTCATCAAACAGAGTTTTTCTTGGGCGTGCTCACGACCACGTTGTAAGTTGGGATTCATCAAACAGAGGGTTTTCTTGGGCGTGTGTACTACCATGTTGTGATGTTGGGTTCATCAAACAGAGGTTTGCCTTTGGCGTGTTTACTACCATGTTGTGATGTGGGATTCATCAAACAGAGCGTCCCTAAGGCTCACTACCACGTTCTGATGCGGGATCCATCAAACAGAGGGTTCCCTTGGGCGTGCTTATTACCTCGTTGTGACGTGGGATTCATCAAAGACAGGGTTCACTTGGCCGTGTTTACTACCATGTTGTGATGTGGCATTCATCAAGCAGAGGGCTCCCTTGCATATGATTGCTACCATGTTGTGATGTGGGGTGTATCAAACAGCGGGTTCCGTTGAGTGTATTTACTACCATGTTGTGATGTGGAACTCATCAAACAGAGCGTTCCCTGGGCGTGCTTGCTACCTTATACCATGTTGTGATGTGGGGTTCATCAAACACAGGTTTTCTTTTGGCGTGTTTACTACCATGTTTTGATGTGCGATTCAGCGTTCCCTTGGGCGTGTTTACGACTGTGGGGTTCATCAAACAGAGGGTTCCTTTGGGCGTGTTTACTACCATGTTGTGATGTGGGATTCATCAGACGGAGTGTTTCCCTGAACGTGCTGGATTTACTTTTGGTAAAAGCGGCTTCGACCACAGGAGCGAATATAGCTATTACAACTTTGACGAACCCCTGGCCGAACCAACTTCCAGGCGATCAGCTGCCCTTAAGGCAGGTTGCGGGAATCAAGCGTCATCACATGAACCCATCAGAAATGAGAACATTGCAGAACTGGTCGGTTTCATAGTATGCTACACACAATCAGAAAGAGTTCTGCCAATCGTCAAGAAGCCTGCTTGGAACTGCCTGTAAATGACTGGCAGGGTGCATGCAAACAACGAAACGTATAACATGGGGGTGCCTGCAAATGCACCCGTGGGCCTTTTGCGTCGTGGTGTTCGTGCTTCCATTAAACTTCTACCTTCAGTTAAGAAACTACGCAAAGCATCCTGTCCATGAATAGAACTAAGTCAGGGAATAGTTCCAATATATTTGCTGTATCATATTTGCTGCATCAACATCGAATTAGAATTGTAATAGAATTGAAGAACAAGATATGCGCAGTTGAACGTCTATTCTAACTGAGGATTAAAGTAGGGAGTACTTTCCAAATCGGACTTTAATCAAAGATAATTTCTATGTAAGTGGACTTTGAAAGTCTTTGTTGAGTGCTAATGTAAGTAGGAAATCCTTGCCAAACAGGATTTTATGCCAAGTTTGTTGCAGTTTGACAAGCGCGTGGAAAGGTATTGGACAGTAGTGGAGCAGATTTGAAAGGATGGAAGATGGCAAATGAGCAGATGTGCAAAGCTATAGAACAGCTGTGTAAGGAGCTTCAAAAGGAGTCTTACAAGCAGCTTTACAGGAGGCTTCTGAGGAGTTTATACGGAGCCCTGTGCAATGAGCCTAAGGAGTGTTAACCTGCTTCCTCGAACTTGCAGTGAGGCAGCATCAGCCTAGATATGGGCCGCAATTGGGAACCCACTGTTCACAGTGTGCGGTCACTCTTTGGCCAAACCTGCAGCCTTCTGGTGCAATGGCTGCGAAGATGAAAGTGCGGCACCGGGGATCGTAAAAATCCAACAGACTTCGAGAGAACCAAAATAAGCAAAGCCTCAGACAAAGGGTCATAGACTCAACTCCTACATTTGCCAAGGCAAATGTCGGACTTGGGGCCAGGACCTTTTGTCTGGTTTTTTTTTGTTACGTTTTCTCGAGTGCTTTGTGTTTCACTCTTTGCGTGCCCAAAAAGTTGCTTATTTCCCCTTACGAAAAACACGTGTTGTACGTGTAAATTACCACCACTCAGGGCATTGGCCTCTCGTATAAATATATACATACACACTCTCCTTTGTTGGGGTTGACGGATGGATGGATCTCGCAGGCAATCGGCCGTGATGGCGGCGGCCCGGAGAGCAGCGCGGGGCCGCCTCAGGCCGGCGCGCGGTGCGGGGCACCGATTTCGCCTCCCCCAGTGGAACTTGGAACGGAACCCGTTTGGGGGCTGCGGATGGTTGCGAATTCCATTTCGCAACTTTGAAACCATGGGAAACCATTGTTGGTGAGTATTTACAGGGAAATCATCGTTCCACGGCTTCCCAGGTGGTGCAGGATTTCGTCCTTCCACAGTAGTTTGACACGTACTCTTCAGCGCTTTTCTTCAAATGGGTGGGTTTAGAGTGGCTCCCCTTTTACCCTCTGAGAGGCATAAGGGGCTCAAATTCCAGACCACCTTTCAGGGGGTGCGTGAGTTAGACTAGACCTTGCCCGTTTTTTTCTATAAAAAACCCCAGGACCCCCCCCACACTTTTAGCAACATTTTAAAACAGCACAAACAGCACATTTTCAAAAATCAACATTTCAAAGCAGGCAATTTCCTAGTAAGTTCATCCATATTTTAAAAAAATAAATTTTAAAAATTTTAAAATTTTAAAAAATAAATTTTAAAAAATAAATTTTAAAAAATAAATTTTACAAAAAAAAATTAAAAAATAAATAAAAAAAATAAATTTTAAAAAAATAAATTTTAAAAATAAATAAAAAATAATAATAATATAATTTTACAAAATATAATTTTACAATTTTTTCAAAAATATTATTCCAAAAATTATGATAAATTATTTTACAATAAATTTTATCACAAATTTTGTAGACATATTATGGGCAAGGTCTGGTTCATTCGTTTTTTACGGGCACCATTCTTTCTTAATTCTTTCTATTATTTTATCACACGTTGTTTCATTATAAATATTACTTCTTATTTGTTTTCTAAACATTCCCATTATTCCAATTGCACGTGTTATTGTATATCTAAGTTCGTGAGTTTTATACTCATCATTTAAAAACTCATTTAAAAAATCAAACAATAAAACATATTTTAAACGTTTAATATTAAAAGAAACGTTATATAATTTTTTTACCATACTATAATACTTAAAAATAAAATCATTATTATATCCTTCGTCATCACACTCAGTTAGTAAATTATCAAACCCTTCTATAGTTAAGAAATTATTCATTACAATAAACACAAATATTTCTAAATCGTCATCAAGAGTTTCATTATTTATAATATCAATATCTTTGTTATTCATATCATCAATTTTGTTTATAATTCTATTGCAATTATTGCATATAATGTATTGACAAATATTATTACAAACGCCATTTGTAAAACCGCGTTCAATTGGTAATTTTAGCATTTCACAGTCTTTGCATTTATAACTCATAAACCTTTTTTTCAATATATTTTTAGCATCGTGGACTGTATCACTCATCAAACTATATAATAGTATTATAAAATATTTCTTTAAATACCTTTTACAAGAATTTTAATTTTAAATTAAAATTAAATTAATAAATTAAAATTATAATTATATTATCATAATTAAATTAAAAATTATCATCATTTACAACTACAATTACATAATTTACAAAATGGGATGATATTTTCTATTGTATGAGTTAATTCATTATCTTTTCGTTGTGCTGTTAGATTTGTAATGATATTACCATTTTTCATATCAATAGTAAAACCACATCCGCAGTAATTACATTGATTATTTATATTATCTAGAAACCATTGAGTATTTACATAACCTTCTCTAGGTATGCTTCTTTTTGCTTTCCTGTCTTGTTCCTTATAATTCAAAATTTTCCTTTCAAAATAACTCAATACATTTTTGATTAAATACATCATCAACATCCTTTGTATATTTATAAAATTTGACTTTGTTTAAATCACGAGCACGTGTTACCGCTGTAAAAATCCATTCTGGATAATTCTTTACCAAAAAATGATTATAATCAAAAATTGTTATGGTGTCATCAATGCTACTACCTTGAGTAGAATGACATGTAGAGCAAGAAGAAAATATAAAATTGCTTCTTATTTTAGCAACTTCTACGGATTGTAAAATTTCGGTTTTTACATTTTTTAATGTAAATATTCCATCACTTCCAATATGAACTATTTTATATTTGAAATTTACATTAAAAACTGATGTTTTAGTTTTAGTATATTCTCTACAAATTAAAATTTCTCCTACTTCATATTCATCTTTTCTATTTTCTAATTTTCTAATTTCATTTGATACATTTTTACAAGTTGTATTTAAAAATGCTATGTTGTTTTTGGAACTACTTATGTCTGTGGTGTATTCAAAATATTTTTCAATAATAGTTTTAATTGGTAATTTATTAATAAAAATATCATATTTTATATTCTTGAGTTTATCCTTATCTTCCTGTGTGTTAAGTCTCTTACATTCTTTCAATATTATATTATGTGTAAAAATATTATCTATAATATTGTCAGTGTATAATTCATAGTCTTGAGTATTTGTTATTTCTTGCACTGGTTTTAATTGCTTGGTGTCTCCTGTTGCTATTATAATTTTGTTGTGCTTATTCTGTTCTACAAATTGTTTTATTCTCCAGTATATATTTAAATTACTAAAATAGATTTCATCAAATACTATTACATCAAATTCTGTAAAATCAAATGGTTCTAATTTAGCATCTCCATAATTAATACCAAAGAATTTATTTATCGTCATTGCTTCTCCTTCAAATGCCTGTAATAGTTTATTAGTAGGACAAATAAAAATTACCTTATAATTTTTATCAACCATTTTTTGACATATATATGATTTTCCTGTGCCCGGTAGTTCACCTCTGATCATAATAGGATTATTCTGTTTAACAATCTCTATAATGTTATCAGTGTCGTATTCATCTTTAATATCAATAGTTTTACTTTCATAAACTGGTATTTTTATTAATTCATTATTTACAACGTTAAATTTTACCGTAGGTAAATTAATTTCATCTCTCTGCTTTGAAACTTTCCAACCTCCTATATCATCATGAAATTCTAATAATTGCTTTGTTTTTTCTTCATTGCATGTATCAATTACAAAAGCATCTGTTTTTACACTATATATATTAATATTATTAGTTATTAGTGTCTTAAAGTCTTGGTTCATTTTAAAATTGTGATGTTGTAAAAGTAATTCTTTAATATATCGATATCCGTTTCTTAATACTGCCTTATCCTTCAAATTCAATATATAATATGATGCCTTTACATCCCATTCATCCTCATCAAATCCATAATATGTTGTAGTTGCGCCTCCTTCGTCGTCATATTCGGTTATCATTTCGGGATATTCGCTTATAATATGCGATAACTTATTAATTTTACCTCCGTATTCTGTTTGATAATGGACTGCTTCATCAATACTTTTAAATAAAATACTTTGATGCGCTGTAGCGCCTCCTTTTTCTAATAATCCAAAATTTACATTTGCTATTAACTTTTTAATTAGTTTATCTAATGCTTCGTCATGTTCATCTATACTTGTTTGTAAAAGTTCATTAATAATATTTGTATATTCAACCTTATGAATAAATGAAGGTTGTTTATAATATAAATATTGATTTTGTGTGTCTTATTCTCATTGATGAATTCCTTCAAAAACTTGCCATATACTAGATTATATTTTTTGTTGAAAAATAAGTTGTGATTACCACTTATTACAATGTTTCTAATTGCTTGTTTTAATTCATCAGGATTTAAAAACAAACTTAAATCATGTGTTTTACGAAATTCTATATAAGTAGCAACGTCAATACCTTTACTATATGCAATAGAATATATCATCTGCTTGGTGTGTTGATTTTTCTCTATTAGTTCCTTAATGCTGTCCATTGTTGTTTTTAACGGTCTTACATTTGTGTCTATAGTTTCAACATAATATAAAGTTAATTCATGGAGTTCATCTATTTTAATTTCATCGTTGTATTTTTTCCAATGGTCAAACTGGTTAAATACTGGTATTTCCCTAATATTTAAAAAACCTTTAGTAAATGCTTTATTTACATCTATTTCTGTTTTATAAACTAAATTGATATTACTCAATAATAACCCCGAAGGTGCTATACTTCTTGTTTCATTTAATATTTTAATATCAATGTCGTTATAAAAGGATTTATGCGATGACATGAATAAGGATTTATTGAAATTAAACATTGCTTTGTTCATATTGTTGTATGTAGTTTCATTGCTAACTGCAATCCATCCATCACCGGAAGATTTAATTAAATTTTGAGTTTTTATGATATATGTTATCTTGTTCAATCTTAATCTTATTTCATCAATAATACCTGTGTATTTAATTCTGGGTTCATATCCAATATTCAACAACTGGAATAATAATTCTGCCAAATTATTATTTTCAGGCACTAAATATATTTCCTTTGTTTTATCATCAGTTTTAATTTTAAGTATATCATCTATACATTTAATCATTTTGTATTGTGGCGGTTCTTCTCTTTCATTTATATAATAATCAGTGTGTGCCTTTATAGTAGGTAGTTTTGTTATTAATTGCTTTTGTTGTATCTTACTTAAATCATGGTTTAATGTGTAAATATGGTTATTCTTCACCATTGCGTAAAAGGTTTTTATATGGTGGTTTCTTTTTTCTGGTTCATATTTATAAATAACTTCATTTACAAAATTGAAAATTCTAACTTGAATATTAAACTTTTTGAATACTGCTTCCATTTCTTGAATGGTTGCTCCTACCTCCTTAAAATCATCCCTACCTATGATTTCAATAATTTTGTCTCTTGTTAATCTATTGCGAGTTTTTTCATTCATGATTGTATCACTGTAAAAATCAGTTAATGAATTTATCCAACATTCATTCTCTATATAATTACCTTTCTTGATTGCCTTTTGTATAGTGCCTTCGCTTATTTTAATAGGCGTGTGTATATATTTATGATAAATTGATACGTTTGTAGCATCCCTTAAGTTTTCGGTTAATATATTAAACTTTTCGCCGTTTTTATTCATCACTTCCACTGAAAATATTTTGACACATTCAATATCATTATAAAATTCTGTCATTTCTCTATATATGTCAT